CATCTTTAAAAGCACCTTCTCATTCTCATTAAACTTATCTTTTTCGCCGGGCTCGGTGGCTCAGCCTGTAATCCCGCGCCTTTGGGAAGCTGAGGTGAGTGGATTGCCTGAACCCGCGGGTTCGAGACCCGCCTGGGCGGCGAGACCTCATCTCTACAATAAATCAAAAGGAAAAAAAATCAGCCGGGCGTGGTAGCGCGCGCCTGTAATTCCACCTACTTGGAACGCTGAGGCGGAAGGATCGCCGGAGCCCAGCAGGTCGAGGCTGCGGTGACTGGGAGCGGCCACTGCACTCCAGCCTGGGCGACAGAGTGAGACTCCAACTTGAAAAAAAACAAAACAAAAAAAACTTATCTTTTTCTAGTTGTTTAGTGCAAGCTGAAATTTTGGTTCCCAAGTAAAATTTAAGTAATTCCCAAATCAGCTTTATACATTGCTCTCTTCATGTATTATTACAGAGCTACATTTCGAGAACCTTTGGCTAGTTGATGGTTTGCTTTTTTAAATTCATCAGTATTACAGTATTACACTGAGAAGCATCCGGAGGATAAGAATTCAACTGAACAGTTGAATTAAAAGTCAAATTGCTATGAAGAGTTCAAATAAATCATAACTGCTTTTCCTCTGCTTTCCTATGTTTGGCGTTGGTTTTATCTGAAGATTTAGATGATGTAATGAAGCCTGAACAAATAGATTTAATGGTTTCATAAGTTTAAAGTCACTTCAATATGGACCATGATGCAAAACAAAATATATGAAGGGAGTTCCCCCCAAACTGGAATTTATTTATAATAAGTGGTGTATTAATTTTTACATGTTTCAACTTCATTGACCTTCAAAGTACTCTCCGTTTGATGCAATACACCTATCAAGATGCTCATTCCATTGCTTAAAACAGTTTTTGAACTCATCAATTTTGATGCCTTTTAGTGCTTCTGTCGTTTTTTGATTCACCTCTTCCACATTGGCAAAGCATTTCCCTTTGAGGACTTTTTTCACCCTGAGGAAAAAGAAATAAAAGTCGCTTGGGGAGAGATCTGGTGAATAGGGAGGGTGGGTTACGAGGTCTTGCCATTTTTTGGTCGAAAACTGCTGAACACTCAGCACAGTGTGGACAGGCGCACTCATAAATCACCCATCATGAATTGGGCAAACACCTTGATAGAATCTCCAAAATAAAGAAAAAAAAATTCACTGATGCCAAATGCAGCCTCTCACAACAACCCTAGCTGGTATACTGATGCTGATGGGTTCCTAGAACACTTATCAAGCAGATCACGCCTGTACTACAAAGGGCCTGCCCTCCAAAAGATAATTCAGTTTTTCTTGATTCCCCCCATATGCGTTATAGGACAGGCCTCTAAACTTTTAATAAAGTGTAAGAATATATAGAAAAGACACCAAAAATGCCTGATTGTGGTAAGGAGATCTTATCCTTTAGAGATTTTAGTTAACTCATGTTTGAACTACTTTAGGACATTAACAGATACATATAGGTTCTATCAGGAAACTTGGACTTTTGATCTGTGTCTTTCCCCTAGACAACTGATTTATGACAGGTCACTCTGAGACCCAGTTTCCTTATTTGCAAAATGAAGTATCAACCTAGACAGCTTTGAAATGTCTTTATAATGCTATTATGATATGATTATTTATTACCTTATTAATATTAATTTTCTGAATTTTCTCATTGAGTTTTTCTTCAGTGACACCACACAGATAGCAATTGCTTAGAAGGATACATAGATATTGGAACTTACCATATTATCTGTGAACTACAAATATGTGGCAGCTCTTGCTCATTAACTCTCTTAATGACATTGTATGAGAAACACATTTCACCTGGAATTTTTTTTGTCTATGTCATGGTTTAGATATTTGTCAACATTTCATTTTCACAGAGTTAGAAACTATGTGTTGTTCATAGAAATCCATTACTTACACTAAAAATACTAAAATAACTATTAATTCAATAATTATCATAGACAGAATCTGGTTCTGAAGAGAAAATGTAAATTCTGGAAACTTTTGCTAATATAGTTTTCGTGATGAGTCACTCAGCCCTGGTGGTCCTAAGCAGAATACCTTTGTTTAAATTATTGCCATCATACATATTTTCTACCCAGACTTACTCTTGAGATCTGGACAGGTCATTTAGGGACTGGAATTCACTAAAACTAAATCAGATGTGGCAAGAAAATCTCTTGGATCATCTAGATAATGTACAAATGTATATCATCACTTTAGGTACTAAGGCAATTTGCTTTCAGAAACTTTTTTTGCCATTATTAAGAGACAATCTAATGTGATGAAAAGTTTGTTTCATTATGAGTTTTCCTTGCATTGTAAGGAGTACAGAGTGGCAAAATAGAACCTTAGCTATTCTACTATGCATACACATTTAGATGTACTAGGTTATACTTACTTCCCTTACACCTTTAATAAGTATTCATTCATTCTACCTCTTAGAATCAGGATATCCCAATGACAGTTATGTTTTCCTTTTGAAACAACCAATATTCACCTTATATTTCTTGAATCACAGTTGCATGGAAAATGGATTTCTTTTAATTCTGAAATACTGCTTTAAAATCTGCCAGATTCGAGTGTGTGTGTGTGTGTGTGTGTGTGTGTGAGAGAGAGAGAGAGAGAGAGAGAGAGAATTACTTTATCACCCAGGCTGGAGTACAGTGGAACAATCTCAGCTCACTGCAGCTTCAACCTCCTGTACTCAAGTGATCCTCTCATCTCAGCTTTCTGAATACCTGAATCTGAATAGCTGGGACTACATGTGCATGACACCATACCAGATTAATTTTTTTATTTTCTGTGGAGACAAAGTCTCACTCTGTTGCCCAGGCTGGTCTTGAACTCCTGGGGTTAAGTAATGCTCCTGCTTTGGCCTCCCAAAGTGCTTGGATAACAGGTGTGAGCCACCACACTCGACCAAAATCTGCCAAATTTTTATTTTCATTTTTAGTTTATCCCACCAGTGTATCAGTAGATAGCCAGAAGTTCAGACATTATCTAAAAATAAATAAGTTGAATTCACTAGACTTTTTTGAAGGGCATCTTTGGAGTATGAATTGTTCTGCTGTTTTTAATACCCCTTATATATTTTTGTGTTGCTATGTGATTTAGACTTTCTAAGAGAAAGAATTTCAAACTTACATACTCACTTTTTCTCTAAGGTCATTCCCCTCCCCCACATCTTTATAATATTATGTTGATATGTCTTTTAATAACTGCCTTATATTAACACAAAATAACATAATTATGCTATAGGGGCTGACTGCAGAGGTGGCAGGTCATGTTTTCATTCATTTGGTTGTATAAGTGTGAGGATAATTAAAAGGGTATAAAGACTACCTGAAGCATTTTCCTCCTCTCACCCATCTCCACTAAACTGACTATCACAAGCTAGGCAGTCCATCCATTAGCAGATGTGCCAAAAAGGATGTGCACTAGACGGGAGTTCCTTTTAGCATTTCAGAGGAACAATGTTGTTTTAGATAAACTTTATTACATAGTGAATTCTGCCTTAAATAATAATCAAAAGCTCTTAGAAAACACCAGAATACATTAGCAAGAGTCTTGGAATTTCTCTTTTTTCTTTCTTCTTTTTTTTACTGTGCCAATATGATGTGATTTTATTTTTATTTTATTTATTTCTTTTTTAATTTTTTAATTTTAAAGATGTGGGGTACAATTCAGTGTTAGGTATACAAATGTTCATTATGCAGGTACCCTTGTTGATGAGGTGTGCCCCCCTACCCTGGCCATTTCCTACTACTGCCAATCCCGCCCGCCACCCCCACCCCTCAGCAGTTTCACACTACTGCCAATCCTTTTCTTATAGTATTATGATAATTGTTCACGGTCTGCTTACAAGTGAGAACATGTGATACTCAGTTCTTTGTTTCTGAGATAGATCATTCAGTATTTCATACTCTAAGTCCATTCAAGCCATTCAAATTATCATGGAGTTCATAATTTTGTCTTCATTTATGGTTGCGTAATATTCCATCATGTATATATACCACATTTTTTTTATCCAGTCCTCTTTCAGTGGACAGCATGGTTGGTTCCATGCTTTTGCTATTGTGAATAATGCTGCAATAAACATGCGTGTGCAGGTATGTTCCTCATAGAGTGGTTTGAGTTCCTCCAGTGATATTCCTAGTAGGGGGTTTGTGGAGTCATATGGAATGCCAATTTTTAGATTTTTTAAGAGTCGCCAAACTGTTTTCCAAAGAAGTTGTATTAGTTTACATTCCCACCAACAGTGTAGAAGTTTTCCCTTTTCCCCTCATCCTCTCCAGCATCTGTTGTTTTTTGAGTTATCGATGATGGCCATCCTGACTGGAGTTAGGTATTATCGCAGTGTGATTTTAATTTGCGTTTCTTTGATGACTAGGGAGACTGAGCATTTTTTCTGGTGTTTGTTGGCTGCTTATGTGTCTTCTTTTGAGAAGCATTTATACATAACTTTTGCTCACTTTGTAATGGGGCTGTTTGGTTTTTTTCCTTTCGGCATGTTTGAGTTACTTGTAGATCCTAGGCCTTTGTCAGATATACAGTTGGCAAATATTTTTCCCAGTCCGTGGGCTGTCTCCATGCTCTCTTGATGATTTCTTTGGCTTTGCAGAAGCTTGTCAGTTTGATGAGGTCCTACTTGTCTATCTTACCTCTTATGGCATGGGCATTTGCGGTTTTGATAAGGAATTGGAATTTTTCAAACAATTTGTATTTTACTATCTTTGTTTTCTCTGTGTTTAGAGTTGGGGATCTGTCCATATTGAATATTTTTCTTTAGATATTCAAGCTGTCCATTGTAGGATGAAGAAATTGCAAGAGTTGACAGTTACTTTGTTAAAAATTCAACTTTAATTTGCTTTTGACTTGTCCTATGCAGAGTAGACTTGTTAAATAAATATATACAGTTTTCAATTACATAAAGAAATGATTTTTTAAGGGGATGATTTTGGTTTTAGGTATAACAGCTGCAGCAATGGCTGAGGCGATGAAATTACAGAAGATGAAACTTATAGCTATGAATACACTTCAGGGAAATGGAATCCAAAATGGGACTGAATCAGAGCTTGATGAACTTAATTCTAACACAGGTGAGTGTCTTCAGAATCCCAGACAGGTAATTCTCACTATTTTATTGTGAGGTTGGTGAGAGGAAGGATGAGGGAGGAGGAGAGAATAATATGTATAATTTGATTATAAAGTGATTCAAGAAGGATGCTTAGCCCTATTGCTAACTTTGTACACTGATATATGAAAACCATTACAAATCAAAATCCTATTTTGGAAACAGTTATCTTCATTGTGTTACTGTGGTAGAATTAAATCCTAATTCTTATAGTGATAGTAATTATGCTCTCTGCCTGCCATAGGTTGTCCCACTCCAGCCTCATCCCAGGCTTCTTACTCCATCCTTCTCTAAATAGTTTACTACTGAAGGTAATGCAGAGAAACCAAGTTGGCTGAGCTGTAGTCATTTCAGATTATCACCTCCTTAGCTAAATGAAGGTGCTGGCTGACTCCGGGCATTATCAACAGGGGCTAAAGAAAAGGAATAGAACAGGGATCAGGAAACATAGAAGAATGGGAGAGGAGAGAGAGATGGTTGTGGAGGGAAATATTCTCTCCTTTCATGCTACTTGTTTTTTTCTTAATTTTTAAATTTAATGTTTTTTCTCCTTTATCCTGTGATTACAGTACCTTGAACTTAATTATAAGCCACTCTGAGATCTCTTTTTGGAAGTAGGTGTGATTATAACAATCAACATACAAGTATGGGTGGATAACTAACTAACTAACTAACTAACTAACTAACTAACTAACTAACTAACTATGATTTGATGTTAGTGGGGAGAAATTAGAGGCAATTAATGATAATCTCAGGATCCACAGGTTTTCAAGCTAATTCTGTTGTTAAATTTAATATAATATGACAGGTAGATTGGTAGTAGCCTTACCTATATTCTAGGATCCTAGAAGTTCAAGCATGGTGGGGTTTTACTTCGCAGGAAAGTGGGAAGGGGAACTAAAGAGGGAAATTATTTAATAAAATTGGTATAAGAAACTACTCTGACTTTAATACCGTGTAGATCCCCTCATCTAAAATTTTAATGTTTATGGTGAATTGTAGAGTGAGAACTGATCTTCAACAAGTGCTCACAGTGGTACTTTTTTCTATATAGCCTGGATCCAATTTATTGGGGAATCGATGGAAAAATGCATATTTCACTGGATTTACAGAAGCTGAAAGAAACCCATAGACAAGACTAAAATTAACACTAAGCAAAGAATAATAACAAAAGTAAGAATAGTTTCTAGTTTCGACATACTAAGCATCTCACATATTAAGTCATTTAATTTTTACCAAAATCCTGAGAAGAGTTTATTGCTAATACTCCCATTTTACAGATCAGGAAATAGAGGTACAGAATGATTCAGCTTTGCCTATAATCACAAAGCTAGTAAATTGCACACTTAAATTTCAGTCTCATGTCTGGTTAAGTCCAAAGTGTTTGCTCTTTCTACATTCTGCTTCCTCTTTATTGCTGCTTTGTCATGGGAATTTGATTTATCAAAATCCCAGAATACACCAAAAAAGTTAAGATAAAGAAGATACAGTAGAGAAAACTGATGACCGATCAGTTTTCTATTCCTAATTTCTCTTAACTCAGGATGGCTTTCAAATCTTAGAGTGTCTTAGAAATGGCCAATGTTTGACAGAAATCCACTTGCAATTCAGTGTTGTTATACAGTAATGCTTTGTATCAGTAAAAATTAGTGAGGGCTCGTGCAGCAATTTCTGTCATGTTTGTTTCAGAGACACCAGTTTCTGAAAAAATCTTTCTACAAAGTTTCTATTTTCTCTTGTGTAACAAGACACCATAATGTATTTTGAGAGATGTACTCATGGCCTAATTTGTAACTTGATAAAATGTGTACACATTTTAAGCAATGTTAAGAGATGTTTGAGGTGATCAGCAGTGTCTGAACGCTGATGGTAACCACTTTGAGCACCTCTTGTAATTGCAGAAGTCAAATGTAACTTGTATTCATCTTTTTTTATTGGTATATTTGAGTATTACAATTTTAATACAGTTTTTTTTTCTTTTCTTAAATGTGTATACATTTTTTGGCACCCTCTGTAGTTCATAATTTTTCTGGCTAGATGTAACCTGGCCTAATTCCAGATATCCATCATTTTGATAAAAGAAATATCATGTTTCCATCCATGTATGATGTTATACTTGGTGCTATAGAAATGCAGTGGCAGTTGTTACTGTCCTCAACCATGTAGCGATTATAATCTAATTAAACTTATCTCTATATAATGAAGGGAAGCCAACTTGAAGTACTATAATAATTGTTATTATATACGTTAAAAAGAAGTCTCTGGGGTTTTTAAAAGTATGAATAAATGAGCTTTCTGCTTTCCTGAAAAAAATATATAGTTTCACAAATGGTCATTTAAAAATTGAAATTTATTTAAAGAATTTTAGATTTGAAAATGTTTGATAATCAGGGGTCTAGTATGCCTTTAATGTCCTTTGACTCTCCTGTCTCAGGATTTAAACTGAGATCAAAGACTAGGTTTGATTTATCTTTTTTTCAACTTTCATCTACTTTAGCACCATCCAGGAAGGGAAAAACGTAGATACTCTTGACAAGAGAGATCACATTTAACACCATTTAGGCTCTGATAACTAGTTATGGTCATGTGCTTCCTGAATGATTGTGGTTCAAGTAGAACTGGAAAATTGCATATTTAACCCAAGGAAAATTAGGTCTTGGAAAATTGCTAAGACTTTAGAAGGTAGGACCACATCTAATCAAGTAAAGGAAAAGCAGTAAATTTGTAATAATATTTAATCAAGTGAATTGTGAGGCATCATGAAGAATACACATTGAATGTTTTTATTATTATGTGGTGATATAGAAGTGAGTATTAGCTTTTGTTCTAACGCAGTTGTTCTCAGGTCTGTTACACAGAAATTCAGTGGTATATTTGAGGTGACTAGCAAATAATGGACATTCCATAAGGGTAAGTGTGTGAATGAAATAAATCGTAAGATTTGTGACCATTTGTAAGTCACTCCATGAGGGATTAGAGTAATTCTTGAATATGATTCTCAACAAAATCCAATTCTCGTATTTATTAAGCCTCCACAATGTGCAATATTTCAACAGTTAAAAAGGCAGTATGTTGGTAGTCTAAGGAGAAAATATGAAAATCACTGGATTTCAAATACTTATGATCTAGATACGAGAAGAGAGAAGATAAAATAATGAATTAATACATAAAATATTCTGAGATGAAATGTGATAAAAGCAACAACAAGAAGAAAGTACTGCACAAATATAGTGAAAGAAGAAATTGCTTGTGCCTAAGAGAATCAAAAAGGATTCAAGTATAGGGTGTGGCATTTGAACTGGTCTTTGGGAAATGTGAAAATGAAAATCAGAAAATGAATGGCTTTGAAGGAAGTGTTAAACAGACTATACTATTCCCCTGGGCAGTCATTTACAAATAGTAATTTTAAGAGCCTTCAGGCCATCTCTAGGAGTTGTGTAAGAGTTGAGGAAATAACTGGAGGAAATCTTATGTTGATGACTAGAAAGTTTTGATTAATTACATTATTAAGTTTGCTATAAAGCACTTGTTTAACATCTTATTGACAAATATTTTAAAAATTAAAAATAGAGTTCTAAGTGACTTGAGATAATTAAATCCAACTGCCTCACACTACAGATGATAGTTGAAGGATAAGAAACTGGCTTGTCACCACACAGCTAGATAATGAAAAAGCTGGCACTAAGTCATAGCCCTTTGATCTTTCTACTATAACATTATGCTTCCAATGTTTAAATTGTTTAGTGTAGTCTAAGGTACATAGCAGAATTTCTTTCTTTGATATTGAGTCTCAATCAATAAGCTTAGAGATGGAGATGGAGCTGATAAAGGGTATTGTCCTTAGTTTGGCCTCACCAAAATTGTTTAGAAAACAGGTGCCAAACCTCAGGTTAGACCTGACCTGACCTCAAGATAGACTCTTAGGATTACTATTTTGACTATAACAACTTTGGCGAGTTTTTTTCTTGATTTTATCTTCCCTCTCTTCAATTAAGTGAAGTATAGAAAACAAATGTTTCACATGGATTTTTGAAACGTTGTCCAATTAATCAAGCCTTAAAAACCATGCTTGGGCTGCATATAGTGACTCACACTTGTAATCTCAGCGCTTTGAAAGGATTGCTTGATCCCAGGAGTTAAAAACCAGCCTAAGCAATTTAATGAAAGTTCATATCTACAAAAAATTAAAAAAAAAAAAACACTAGCTTGGTGTGTTGGTGTGTCTGTAGTCCACTTGGGATGCTAAAGTGAAGGATCGGCTGGACTCAGGCTGCCATGAGCTGTGACTGGGCCACTGTACTCTAGCTTAGGTAACAGAATGAGACACTGACTGAAAAAAATCATACTAAATCCACAGATATTCAATATAATTAAATATTATTTAGATTTGTTTCATAGTTATTTATTTATTTTTTTGAGTTAGAGTCTCACTCTGTCGCCCAGACTGGAGTGCAGTGGCTGCTCCCGGCCACCGCAGCCTCGACCTGCTGGGCTCCGGCGATCCTTCCGCCTCAGCCTTCCAAGTAGCTGGAATTACAGTCATGCGCTACCACGCCCGGCTGATTTTTTGATTTACTGTAGAGATGAGGTCTCTCTGCCCAGGCAGGTCTTGAACCCACGGGCTCAGGCAATCCACTCACCTCAGCCTCCCAAAGGTGCAGGATTACAGGCTGAGCCTTTTTTCATAATTTTAAAGTATAAGCCCAATGACTTAGTTCCCAGCTCTGAAATCAAGCTTAGTGAATATTTTCCTTTTTCTTTTTACTCATGAGCAGCATTTGTTTTTACAAGGCACAATTATAAATATAAATTAATGGTCCATCTTCATTCAATTTATAATATTTATGATCATATGAGCATTTTACCTGAGAGAATGATTTTTGGACCTTATAAGCTATTTTCATAATTATTTATGAAACCATAAAAATAAAATTTTTAATTAATTTCAAAAAAGCACGTTCTGTT